TATGATGTGGGAGTTTGAAGTAAATCCTAAAATGAATGAAGAAATTGGGAGTAAAAAAATAACAATTTCTCGAAAAAGTTCAAGGGGGGGGGGGTCATAATTCTGAAAATAATATTGCTAGTATTGAACCTTCTCACATATGTTGAGTGATCATAAGAAACATACATATGGAGTTTGGAGCAGATACATTAAGAAATAATGAAGTTATTAAAAACAATATTTTTTTTCATTAAAATTCTAATTTCAAGGGAGGTAATTATAATATTTTTTGTGCTAGAGTTGAAAACCTTGTCACATATGATGTGGTTGATGACACACTAATATTTAAAGTTTGAAGTAAATACCTTAAGAAATAAAGAAGTTATAGTGAAAAAGCGTAAAAGTCGGAATCAGAAATCTTGAAATTCAGTGTATTTGTTGACATAGCGACCAGAATTTTCAACATAGGAAGTAAAAAATGTGCATAATCTCCAGACTGCCATCTACCCAGATTTCAAGTTTCATAGAAATATTTTCAGTACTTTTTACGTTATCACTAGATCCAGTTTAGGTGTTAAATTTGCCATATTTTCAGTCTATTTGTTGTCATAGCAACCAGAATTTTCAACATAGGAGGAAAAGACTGATTAGATGTTTAGCTTTTGATAAAGGACTTTCATATGTAAAGCCAAAAATCATTTTGTCTGCAGATAATGATGGAAAAATATTCTTTTTTGTTTTGAAATAGATATCAATGATGTCCTTTACAAAACTACATTGCCAAAACAAATGTTCGATAGTTTCTTTTTTATATTTTACAAAAGGTACAAAGAGGATTATCATTATATTTAATTTTATGTAAATAATAGTTGGTGTCAATTATTCTATGAAGAATCCCAATTTGAAACCACTGTATCCTAGAATCATTTTAAATGGCATTTCGTAAATTTCTTTCATTTACTTTCGTCAAAATGAAGAGCAAACTTTTGCATCCATTTTGCTTTAACTGTTGGTTGTGTGTTATTAGTATTCAATAAATTGTAAGTCCGTTTTGATCCTTCATTGTTTATATTATGTTTTTTAAATAAGGAACCAATTTTGGTCCTCACGCTTTTTTTTACGTCATTCATACTAAAATCAAATTTTGTCATCATTTCATTTATCTTTTTTTTCTAATTCAATGAAAGATTAAAAAGTTTGCATTAAAGTTACATACCTCCAGATGACTAAAAATATTTCAAGAAAATTAAACTTGGAAAAACCATACTAAAACTTTGAGAAAAGTGATCAAATTAAAGATTCAAGTGATAATTTATATCTTATGTTCAATTAATGACTGTATTTTGTCGTATTTATCACCGTATTTCTACTGCGTTACTAACGCAGTAGGGGCTATTTATGCATATTTTGACCTCTTTTTGGTAAATTACGTGGATTTTAATTGCCGATTGTAATGTTTCAAGTACTGTCTTTGTTCATTTTACAATATTTTACCTTTAAATACATTTTCAAAATTTTCATGAAAATTAGGATGAATCTGGAGGCGTGCTGCTTTAAGCCTGAATATGTTTTTAAAATCTAAAAATGAAAGAAAAGCACCGTAAGAATCAAACATATCTCCGATATAATATACACCGGCTTTAAACCATGAATTAAGAAATATACTTTTATTGCCAATTAGTAATTTATTGTTATAAAACAATGGTAGTTCTGCGAAGGATTCTTTATTTATAGGATATCTATCTATATATGTAGAAAAAAACATTAACAGCGTCTTTCCAAAAAACGTTTGAAGTGCTTTTTGCAATTATCTATTTAATGTTTTCCACAGTGAAATAATTTTTGCACATCAAATTCATTTGTAATAATGTTTTTCCAACAGGCATCGCTAGTCATTCTTTTGAAACAGCTTATCTTTAATGCCATTATCAAAGCATTTAAATTCAACATTTTTAAACCTCCCTCTGATAGTCCTTGACCATAACAGTATTTTTCATTTTAACATTTCCTTGCCATAAAATAATAAAACATATAATTAAGTTTATTTATCATGTCCTGAGTTGGTGACGGTAGGGCTATAAAAAGATGGTTCACAATTGAAATTAAAAGCGCTTTTGTTAAGCACGTGTTGGCTTATGTAAAGGTTGGACCGGTTTTGTTGAGCACATGTTGGGTTATGTAAAGCATAGGTTGGGTTATGTCAAGCATAGGCCGGCTTTTGTAAAGCATAAGTCAGTTTTTGTAAAGCATAGATCGGCTTATGTAAAGCATAGGTCGACTTTTGTTAAGCATAAGTTGGCTTATGAAAAGCAAAGGTTGACTTAAGGAAAGCATAGATCAGCTTATGTTAAATCATGTTGACTTAATATGTAAAACATAAATTGGCTTAGCGGTAAATGTTGGTGATTGAATACCAGTATATGCTCGTCCATATGGTCTCACCGGTGGCGAGGGTAAACAAACGCAAACACACACATTTAATAAATGTTGATAAAATATTAAACTTCTTGGTACAATCTACAATACATACATCTTCCAATTGCTGAGAGTGTCATTTCTAACCTAAAATAAATTGCTTATTATGCTAATTCACAGAATGATTTCATTTTGCGAGTGAGAACTCAACAATTAAAACAACTAATTACAACCAATAAACCCTGATCAATTAATATCACCAAAATTAAATTCAACCAACTTCAACAAATCAACAAAACTCCCCTCAAAACAACAATTCTCTTCTTAACAAAAAATAAACGCTTCACACTATCAGTTGATGTAAAATCCCTCCCAAAACTCGCATATTTTCTGTTTTAACGATTTTGACATTTACATGTATAGCTGTAGGATAACATTAACTCATTGCAAAAACATATCTACAGTGAAAATGTACGATTATTCTGACAACTACTGTTTAATAGTTTGATAGTATTTGCATTTTGACAACATGCAGATTAAAATTTATTCTTGTGTCGTCTTGATGTTGGTGACAACAACATCTTCTCAATCGGAATCACAATGTGTGTATTCGATGGAAAATGTATTAGACAGAATAGCAAGACTAGGATTGAAGCTTGAAACTACAGAGAAAAGACTGGAGAAAATTGAATCTCGGCAAGACGCATGGAACACGGGTACTTATTTTATTTAATTTTCTTTGTTAACGGTGCACTTCTTATGAAGTAGTAACAAGAAAATGTTTAAATAACAACTAATACTTTAACTTTGACATACATTTAGCAAGAGCGTTTAGATCAGTGAGACGTTTAAATAATGGCTTATACGGATTATTAAGAGGGATAGCATGCGCTGGTCTGAGTCTCTTGCTGTCAAGACTATGCTAAATCTTTTCTTAAAGAATAAAAGCATCCATCAAATCAAAACACTAATATTGAACTGATTTTCTTCACACCGAATCATGATATCCATGTTTTCGATTTATGTATACATTAACTTGTATTGTTTTGGAGGAACTTTATCCTTAACAAGAGCTGTCACAGGAGACAGCGAAGCTCGACTAATAAAATACTGGACACAGTAAGAAAGAAAAATCAATTACGCTTAATTATGTTTCAAGTAAAAGTAAAAAAATATCATTTGTTAAAATAAATTCCAAGTTCAAGGGGGAATAATTTTGGAAATAGTCATGCTAAAGTTATGAACCTTGTCAAACAACATGTATGTTATGATAAGAAATATATATTTGAAATTTAAAGTAGATACCTTAAAAAGTAAAAAAAGTTAAAATATTTCTTAAAGAAAATCCTAAGTTCAAAGAGAAATAAATCTGAAAATATTGCTTCAAGAGTTATGAACCTTGTCACATAAGATGTAATTGATGATAAGGAATACGTATTTGAAGTTCGAGGTAAATACCTTTAAACTAAAGAAGTTAAAATAAACAATAGCTATCACAGGAGACAGCGAAACTCGACTAATAAAATACTGGACGCAATAAGGAAGACAAAACTATGAAAAAAATCAATTACATGTATGTACAATTATGTATTAAGTTATAGTAAAAAATAACATTGTTAACATAAATTCCAAGATCAAGGGGAATAATTCTGGAAATAGTCACACTTGAGTTATGAACCTTGTCACACAACATGTGTGTAATGATAAAAAATATATATTTGAAGTTTGAGGTAGATTCCTTAAAAAGTAAATAAGTTATAATATTTCTTAAAGAAAATCATAAGTTCAAAGAGAGATAAATCTGTATATTGTTTCGAGAGTTATGAACCTTGTCACATAAAATGTAATTGATGATAAGGAATAAGTATTTGAAGTTTAAGGTAACCTTTTTTTTAAGTTTTAGCCTTTAAAACTAATAAGATTATAGTTAAAAATAACATTGTTCAAGTAAAGTAATCTAAGTTTATGGAGAGATAATTTTTGCAATATTGGTACTAGAGTTATGAACCTTGTCACATAACATGTGGTTAATGATAAGGTACATATATTTGAAGTATGAACTTGATCCCTTGAGAAATAAATAAGTAACAGTAAAAAAAATATTTTTTAAGGAAAATTCTTCTATGTTCAAGGGGAGATAAATCTGAAATTATTGGAGCTAGAGTTATAAAACATGTCACAAAAGATGTGGTTGATGATAAGATACATATATTTAAAGTATGAAGTTGATCCTAGATGAAATAAAGAAGTAACAGTAAAAATAATATTTTTAAGGAAAATTCTAAGTTCAAGGGGAGATTTATCTGAAAATATTGGTGCTAGAGTTATGAACCTTGTCACATAAGATGTGGTTGATGATAATAAACATATGAAGTTTGAAGTTGATACCTTAAGACATGAAAAAGTTATAGTGAAAACTATTTTACTGCACCAAAACTTTAATCTGAAATCTCGACGCGGACGCCGACGCCGGGGCGAATAGGACAGCTCTCCATATACTTCGTATAGTCGAGCTGAAAATCAAAATATGAAAGAAATGGCCGAAAATGTATATTCATAGTCTTATTGTAGGACAAGAAAAATAACTTTTATTCAACATTTTTCAGACAGTCTTGATGCATTGAGAACACCAATGGTTGTTTTTCGAATCCAGCTGAACAAATACCTTGGTAGGGTTACCACAGGCACAGTAATAAAATTCGACCAAGTTGACCTTAATCTAGGAAACGCATATAATGACGGCTACTTCACGGCCCCTTTTAATGGGACATACATATTTTCAATGGTTCTAGGGAATCCAAGCGGAAAACAAGGAGCTTTCTTTATGAGAAAGAATGGTGTTGGAATAGAATATGCTATAGCAGGGCACACAACTGGGTGGAATATTGGTGGCGTGTCGACAGTTGCCTTCTTGGATGTAGGTGATCGTGTATGGGTAACTGGAGAAGGTCACGTGTCAGGGGCTAATGCTGATCGATATCACACTGGTTTTTCTGGCATGCTTGTAAACTCCTACTAAATGAAGTTCTACGCAAATTATTTTAAGAAATAAAAAAGGAACATTCCGAAATTACACTTAGTAGTTCATTTAAAATATTTTATCAAGATTTCTTTGTTAATCGTGTACGCTGCTTGAACCAGTTCGTAAACACATGCCATATATTGCACAAAAAAATAATAAACCATATTAGTTAGTACAATTTAGACTTTGTATTGGATGTAACATTGTTTCGTTGTTGCTGTTGTTTTATACAAGATACGCATACTTATATAGCATTTCCTGATACATTGTATACATATATGTACGTAAAGCATTTCCTGATATATTACATAAATATATGTATGTATAGCATTTCCTGTGACACTGTATATATTGCATTATAGCCTGTCAATGATGTTTTACCGGCAATTTTAATATGGCAATTTTAGTCAAATTCAGGTTGACTGCTCCTAAAATGACCTGAAAGAGTAAAAATTCAATTTCAAGGGCTGATGACTTAAAAAACCCATTTTTTCATTAATTTGTTTCAATCATAGTTCTCTCAATTCATGCAAAATAAAGTCGATTTTAACTGAGGTCGCTTTCTATTGAATTATTTAGAAGCTCTCGTCCTAGATAATGATCTAAGAGAGACAAACTTTGCCAAACGTAAATGATAAGTTCAGTAAAAGTTACTTCCCATTGTCATGTAACATATAGTCAATGAAAAAGTAATTGCGTGACGATTGTTGAATTTATGGCACTTTTACTTTTCCGCCATTTCTTTTACAGAATATATTAATCGTTAAGTTTCTTAAGATAATATATTCATATTAATGGTCTCGTGAGTGTATAGTTTCGTCATAATCAGTGGTATCTATCATGTCGTCTGGATATATCTTCTTCCGGTTCCGGTCTTCTCGTCGTTGTCTTGAATTGTTTTCATGAGTTCCTGAGTTAGTCCAGGATCCTTTAAATGAAAGAATAAGACATAATGTAATGCTAACTAGCGCCGTGTAAAGTAAAAAAAAATCAACAAAATCTATATTCTAACCAAGCAAAAAGAATTGTGTTTATTTGTGATGATGCTATCTGACGAAATTGAAAAACAGTTTATTAGAACTAATTTTAAGTTAAATTGTGTTGGAAGCTATAAGCTTCTTGATACACTGGAATCCGTTCCTGGAACCAACCGGTACTAAGCAAAGAATGTTAAGTCGTCGCCTCAAAACTGTAATGTTCTATCTCCAAATTTTCCAAAAACAAGTTAAATATACAATTGTGTCCGTAATGGACTGTTCTATCTCCTTGGCATGTTATATTAGTGGTTCAGAGCTTTATAAATGAATTACAACAAAACCATCCTGTTTTAACTCCACAAATTCAGTATGTCTTGATAAATAGACTGTTCTAACTTACTGGACTGATCATATCATCGATAAATGGCACGTCACCTGTGGGGGCATATGTAACAAACTGTTCTAAATCCAAAGTACCGTATCAAAACATTGCATTAAATCACATGATGGCAGGACACCCGCCATGTTAAACGAAACATTTTGAGTAGCTGGTTATACAACGTTTGCTGTTTCTTTCATATATTAGTGCTAAATGTAAGTATTGAATGATATTATGTATTCATAAATTTACTCCAATCATTGACATTTTATTCTTAAGTCATATGAATTAACTGCATGGGATTAAACAGCAAATAAAATATTATGATTTGCAAGAAATTTCGGGTGTGTATTTTCGGATAGAAACAACTGTGATCATACAATTTCAACAAACAAATTCGTAAATAGGAAATGTTTATATGTTCTAAAGTTTCTTTTATTAAAGGCACATTATATCTCAGAAACTACTTTTTTTACTTTAAAACAGGCAAATATAAGTTTTAGAGATAAACAGCATGCTAGATCCTTTTCGCCTGAATTATACTTATAAATTCTCTATATAATAAAGGTAGCAAAATGTCAACAAAGTAGTATTTTGACTTCCATTCAAAATACTAAATGACTGTAACTGTACTACTTGCAAATAAGAAACAAAAGCATAAGATTGATTAGGTTAGTGGCCAATGTGGAACTTTTTTTGGAAACTATACCAGAACCCCAAATATAAGGCTTTTGAGAGATAAAGATAGGAGCAATTTTGGGGCAAAACGGGCCTGTTAGAAAATTTATAGATATTAAGCGTTTATGTAAAATTTATGTTTTGGAATGCATTAATGTTTCATAACTAATAGATTACTTTAAAGTAAAAACATTTAATACCAAAGTCAGAAGGAAGAAAAATATTCTTATTGTATATTTAGTTTGTCTTGTTATTTGTCTTTGAATTTCTGAATGTATATTCATATGCCATTATGTTTGTAATGTTTTGTACATGGACAATCTTTAAATATGACATTGTTTAATTATAAGTCATGCCTTCTACTACCTTTAAGGTCTTTTCTAGCAGATATGCTTTCATTGCCTACTTAAGTTATAGCCACAATTTTTTCATTCGTACAATTAGAAGAATTTCTTACAAACACAAACAGAACGTGTAAAGCGCATTACAACATAATTATTACTATATCAAACTTTCGGAAGGAATTTGAATTTGACCATCTTTTGAATTTTCATGAAAAAAATTCTTGAAAGATTTGTCCAGCGTTCTAAAGGATTTGAAAGTTTTCTATTCCTGTTTGCATCTACAACTTTCTTTTTCTAGACATTGAATCAATTTGAAGGTACTAAATTTATAAAAATAGATAAAAATGTCTACAAAATTTATGTGGATATTTTATCTTTATTTATATATATTATTATTTTAATGTCATTTAATAATATACTGGATCAAAGCATTTTAATAAAATTTCAAATGTCATAGATGCAAATGGTCTACAAAATAGTGTGAACGCAAATACTACTAATCAAGGGATAATTAGCCGAGAACATTTTCGGCATCCTTTTTAAGATAAAACATACTGTTTTATGTGACATAAATCAATTCAACTTAAAAGACATACTGTTCTAAGTCACATTGAACACTTTGATTTTAACAATTTTTGAAAAAAAGTTAGAAGGACTGTTCTATTTCCTAATGTTTTCTTAGGCTTTTAAGCAAGCACATATCTTTAACGATATTGAGTTGTTCTCCCGACACCACGTTTAGTAGTTTTTAAATTTTCAAAATCCGACAATAAATAAAAAAGTTATGCAATACTTAATTTTTACATGTTTTTTTTCTCAAAAACAACAAAATGGCACTTAGAACAAAACGTTTTTCAAGCGACGAAGTTTCTCGCTAAAGAAAACGACGACTTGAATTGACAATAATAGGATTTGAACACACGAGGCCAGAAATCCTAAGATTAATACTCCGATGCGATAATTACTCGGCTACTTGGCCACAAGTTTTTGGAGACCTCAAGCAGTGAAAAAATGCCCCATTTAGGCCCCAAACACTTTTTTTCGTTTGAGAAATGTTTTTAAAAGAAGTGACCACTTTTTCTGCGCCGCCCCCATCCAAATGTTACATCAGGGGGTTGCAAGAATGGTGATGTGCCCCCTTCTGTTTCGGGGGTTTGAATGGAGGCGGTAGTCCCCCTCATCGCCAAGAAAATTTTGGACATGTGACAGGCTAAAAATGGCCTCAGGTCGATCTTAGGGTAACTAGTAACCGACGCTGAAAAGCCTTTTACTCTAACACAATTCATTGAGATGTTGCAGCACTTTGAAATCAGTTTTGATGGAAAACAAAACAATGCAAAATAGTGATGTTTGGCAATTTTGAGACGTTATCCCGTTGTCATGGTAACAGGAAATTTACAATTGAGCATGCTGTTACAGAGGCTATGGTTTCGTCAACATTTGTGCCAAGTTTCGTCAGTATTGAAGCATTTTTCATAGTTTCATAGCAGTTTTAACTTGTTACAGGAGGCTTTTTCAATGAAAACGGCCATTTTTCGCAATATGCTCATGGGGTAAAAGGTTAATGATACTTTCTCATGTGGTTATTTATTTTTGGAGATTATTTCTTATGGATGAATGGATTATAAATATACAAGTCAATGATTCACATATATTAAACTAATTCACAAGATTTTAAAAAATAACATTGTCACGCCCTCAATTTTACATGATGGCTATTTATGATATGAATTAATCAATTGATACGTGCCTATTTATCTTTCACTCTTTTTAAACAGTTTTATACGTATATCAAAATACCATTTTTGTTGCGGATTTCAATATCCTTTGCTTTTTCTCGTTTTTCTTGTTCCTGTTTATTTGGCTGCATTCTGGAATGAGGTTGGGTTGCAATGGAAACACTAGTCAATGGTATCGAACCTAGGGTCACTTCAAGTGGTATTGCAAGTTGAGACCTTGAAATCCCGCCAGGTATAACCTCCATCTGGTTAAAAAAAACAACATATTTCGATGTGTCCGATAATAAATGTCATTAACAATATTGTAACAAGACTTAAATCATACAGATATGTTCATAAAAATCAAAGATCAAATTCTTAATTTGTAAGCTTTTGGGTAATATCGACTTGGATTTCTTTATTAGGTTTCAGATTATATGAGATACGCGCTAGGTATTAAGGCGATCAAACATATGCCACGCGTTATACTTTATTCCATAGCTGTTCATTGCAACAGCAAGCTGTCCTCCTCGGTTACTGGTCACTTATGTCATGATAACATGTCACAAAACCTCCATCGTTGAGTGCATGACAGTAAAATGGCCAGCCTTTTACGACACGTTCGAATCCCGATAAAGACATCGGATAATAAAGTACTGCAGTGCAATTATCTTAGAGAAGAGGGGTCCTTTTATCCAAGGTAAACATGAAACAATATGTATAAGAAATAAAAAGATGCATAGTATAAGTAATAGAAAGAGCATCGAAATTCGAGGTTATCTGATTTGTACGAGGGGGCGTAGCCCCCGAGTATTAATCAGATTGCCGAGTGTTTTGATGTTCTTTCTCTTTTGTGTCATAGTCAAACATAAAAACACGTTCCCTGTTGCCACAATATGAAATCCCAGAAAAAAGTAACCAATAAAAGAGCATCTGAATATGATATTTCTATCGCTTTCCCTTTCTCTGAGTCATCACAATAAGTAAACCCCAGCAAAAATGAGCCAATCAATGGGCATGCTCGGGAGTGTGGGTAACTAATACCTGCACTCCAGTCTCCAGTTTACGCACTGTGCATGTATATGTATGTATACGTTTAACTTTAATTTTTCAACAGAAGGGTCCCCAAACTATTATAAAAGTGTGTATAAAATTAATGTTAAATTCAAACATGATGCGTTTTAGTTATTGTATATCACTTATAACATACCTCCAGCATATATCTTATTCCGAAGATTCTGCTTGCTGTAACATTAAATATTTGTATACGCGGCACCTGCAGTGGAATATCTGGCCATTCTCTTGTTGATTTGGCTTTGACAGGGCCGTCCTCTACTTGACAAAGAACGTCACGATGTTTGTGGAATTTATTCTTCGTACGGTAACCTCTTTCCTGAATTTTATATTGTCTACTCTTTATTCATGTTTTAAAACAACTTTAAAGATCCAGTATGTTTTGTAATTGATATTGTACCTGTGTGTATACCACTCTTACAAGAAATAATAAATGTATATTATTATGCAAATAACAACGAAGAATATGTAAAATATGTACTGCAAATATGTGTGCACGTTATAAGTAATCAATAAATTATATGCAATCATTTCTTATTGGAAAATTTGACTTTGAATTTATAGAAAATAAATTTCTAATTACCTCCCTTTATTTACATGAAATGGTAAATTCTGTAATATCTTTACAAATAATGCTTATTGGAACTTACAATTTTGACAAATCTTACTTTGAGCATCATATGTATGAAATAAAACCATAATAAAATAGTGTTACAGGATCTTTAAAGTTCCAAATGTGAATACAATGTAATAGGTAAATATGTTGCTCACAATTATCTCAAAATGGTTCATATACTATTTACAGTGCTTTTAGAAATATTACTACGTTTCCCTACCATGTATAAGTTACGTAACGACTCATGTAGAAAACTTGCAACTATATCAAGATTAATTTCCCGTTTCCAAAAGAAACATTTTCTTTCCATGGGAAAATGTGTATGCAGGTCAACATGGAAGTGGTGAATTAATTAAAGATACCTAAATTTTAGGAAAAAAGTAAACATCCAACTGGTCGCTTTTGAAGTCTGAATATTGAGAAAGAAAAGAGGTGTTTATTTTTCTTTCACATAGTTTTAATGTGCATTTTCCATAACATTGTCCAGACACGAACAGCTTTCGTAGTAAAATTTCTTATTTACGTACCTGATATAATGTAAATTTGACATTGTTAACAGACCGGCTTGTGTTGTTCTCAATATCAGCTTGTATATGAATGGTCTCCCCGGGGCTGTAGCCGGACCGTGGTAGTCGCAGGAAGGCAACCAGTGGTGCCGACGTACAACACCAGCAGCAAAATGTGAGCGTTTTCTGAGAATGCATCGGTAACTGAAACAACGGGAAAATACATCAACAATAACTCTTATAATAACTCATGAAATATCATCACTAATACATATCACACAAAGAAATATTTTATAACTTAGTTTAATGTAAACAAACTTTGAACGAGTCTGAATGGGAGGCAAAAACTACCACATTATTTATCTGGAGATGTACCCAACTTACTGTCACATCCGGAAGAATAAGTTGGTTAAGATCTATAGGATCTAAAATTTGAAAATCTTTTCTGTCCCATATATCATTGGCGAAGTTGTTATCCAGCTTGAGTCTGGCTTCAACGAAGTATTCTATCTTACAAACGTTGTCTTCGTAGTTTTCAGGGAGTGATGAAATCAGTTGAAATTTAAACGGAAGTTCGTGCACATCGGCTGGGAGTAAACCTGGTTTGTAAACAGTTATTTATATACAAACTATACATAAAACTCGACTGTCATCAATATTGACAGTATATAATTATGCATTTAAGAGATTTAATAACGAGTGCTAACATACTGATTTAATATATACAAGCAAACGAACGACAAAAAGTGAAATCTTTAACGTCGACTTACAAAGCGGGCATCTTTTGTGTTATATGCTTGAAATGAAATGAAATCGGTAGCAAAACTATGCAGAATACTGCAAATGCTAAATTCATACTGAATGGTGTCTTTTTAGATGATATGTATGCATAATGGGAGTAAGTTTTACTTATTAACATGAAGTGTGAATTTTGTAAAACTTACCTGGCTTAAAGATGTAATTTTTTATATTAAAGTACTCTTCGTCGGCCTCGTGTTCTAGTATCCCAATACATTTATCCTGGGCTCCTCGCTGTTTCTCCGTCCAATAAACACCAGCTCGTCCACAGAACTGTATCATTATACCTTAAAAGAGACGTATTTAAAATATGCATGGTCCTAGAATTATACGTTGTTCACTAAACTAATTCATTTTTATCTTGTGAAGTTTGAAACTGCTTGAAATGTGGCTTCTTTTAGTGTATGTGAAGAATACGCATGCTTATGTCCGGTTGAATAGTAAATTTGAAGAAAAAAAATAGATGTAGCTATGCCAAAATCAGTCAAAACTTCACTGTGTGGTAGAGTTGGTAGTTTACCCACTGGATCACGGCAGTAAGCCACATTTAATTTACCACAGTACAGTTCAGCCACCGCATCGTTCCTCGGCAGGCTGTCAAGCAGTTTACCAGTACTAATTGCCTTCACTTTCACAAGGAACTGATAACTTATGTACATGCAAAAGATTTACAGTGCGGATGACAGAAGAAAGGACGCGTACATGTTTAATTATTTCGATATTTCCGAAGTTTCTTGGGACCCTTCCAGTTGTCTGTGTCTGTCTTTGGCTCTTAAATCAACGCATAGTTTTTGGCTTAAATTAACGCTAGCATGGCTATACAAGGACATAAAGTTTTGAGAGGATGTCTAAAGTAAAGCACGTTGGATCTTCTTTCGAAAATAAAGCTGGAAAGTTTACACTGTTTTAAACCCGAATCTTAAATTGTAATATTTGGAAGACAATACATTCATTATCTTAACAGTGTAAAACATATCATCGAAAGTATATTGAATATCTCGCTTTGTTTTTATGCACTGGAGCATATAATTAGTACATGTCAATGCTATTCTTAAACTGGTATGCTTCAAAACAAACGTGATTTAGAAATTTAAAATACAGAAGGAATGATTTTTTTTTTAAATTGTTATACATACCTCTTGTTGTAAACGCCTGTTTTACATCAACGATCACGTGACCCTGTACGTACTGTCCGGGATGATACGTCTTGTTATGGTTGTTTAACAGAACAACTTCAAGTTTCCTCACATTATCTGACTGGTCACTAATCTTCGTCTGACCCTCCTTTAACTCATGATATATATCCAGACTCATAACGCAATATACAGTATATTATATATATATATATATAATGCCTCCACACTTTATTTGTTATACATGTACAGTAATAAAAGAAAATATAACGCTCGATAATTAAATACGTTTTTGTCTCATTAAAGTACTCAAAATTTATATCATATTATCATAACTGGCAATCTATTTCTTAAGCAGTATACCAGTAAAATAACTGTTATCATTTTTTTAAACATTTTAGATATATTTGTTATTATCCATTGATTTATATATAAGACTCATTCAATACAAAAAACACTAATGTCAAAACCTAATAATTGTATACTATTACAAACACGTCAGTAAAACAATGAAAGTATTTGCAGTCTACTGAAATGGTCTACATTTTGTATTATAATTTATCGATCTTTTTCCCTTTAAATTCTAAAATGTTTACTTCTTTCATACTTATAATGATAGTAAATTAACTTGGTATCTGGGTGCAGGTGAACCAGTTTAATGTATCCGAGTACATATGCTACCAATTTAATGCTACATTCTCATAATATGTAACTATTTTGCTTTAACAATAAACGTAATTACTTGATGTGAGATCTATTCAGGTGCCAGTGTCATTTTTGCGGACTACCTTTGATATTGTTCAAATGTCATATATCAGGGAGCATGCACTTTTTTCTGTCAAAGTATTAAATACTGAGTGCATTTCGAAGTATCTAAACAGAGTATAAATCAGTCTCATGTATTACGCTGCATATATAGCTCTTGGTGAATATCGGAGAGCTTTATCCGTCGTGCTGTAGCGCAATAGCGAATAGCGGCTAGGGTTATATATGCAACCGTTTCATATAACGTATAACGCTATATTACCTGTCAAAAAATATTTTTTTACTAATATAAATGCTAAAGGAAACAACAATTTGATGCTTAAGCTTTGGTCTTTGTAGTTTTTAGGAGAAATTTTGTTTCATATCATATTGAATGTTTCATTAATAAAAGTGAACATTAGACGACCTAGGGACATGATTTATAAATATCAGTTTTGTAGGAAATACTGGGCAATTCTACATGGCAAATATCTATGCTTTAAGACATTTAGTTCCAGAGACATTACATGCACTGACCATTTACAGTCCCAGAGGAAAGAAGTAAACACTTGTAGACGTCCACTACGCAAAACATGCTGGGTATCTTAATCTTAACCCTTGCTATTGTAAATTCACGCAATATTTTACCGGTTTTCTTATATATTAACTAATATAAACTAAATAACCCTCGTGGCAGGTTCAATTTTGACTGGAGGAGCAAAACTTTTATCAAGGACAACGACGTCATTCTACATCTATATACAAAATATATTGTCTCTGTGTCTTGTAGTTTCATTTAAGCTCGCCTGACATATCTAGGCATCCGACTGGAACAATTTGTACAACTTTTATGTGATATTTGAAAGAGAAGTTGTTTAACTAAACTGTGTACAATGACGAGCAACAGATATAAAGCACGTCATGATAAATGCCCACGTCTGAGCACTGTTCTGTATGAATACTACTATAGAAAACCAAATACAAGCAGTGTGATTATAGACAACCGTTTATTGACTAGAATATACATAATGTACATGTATATTATCACACCCCTAAAACATATCACAAATATAATAGGAAAATATTTAGATGTAATGGATCTACTTTCTATATATAACACATAAAAGATTTTCTTTTGAACATCACTGCCACACATTTCACTACTTTGTACATAAAACAGTCTATTTAAACAGATAAGAACCATGAACACATTTGTCAATATCAAATGTTTCTTAATCTGCACGGAAGGAGTATTTGAAGTGTTCAAAATGCCCAGATGAAATAATCATAAAGTATTTTTACGCTTTAATTGCTTTAATTCATACACTTTAATTGCTTTAATTCATACGTTCCTAAAATCTCTTTTAATTTAAAGTAACACTTCACTGTAAAGTTAAAAATGTAACATTATAGCACTAGAATAATGGTACTGGAAAACATCAGGTGCTCCTCTTTGCATTATTTCAGGCATGAACAAACACCTGAGTAAAACCACAGATTTCAATGACCTAGCTGGATGGTTTCCTCACATTTACAGTCCCTGACAGGTTTTCAACCTACATCACTGGGGAAAGCATTACATCAATATTTTAAACCAGTCTGAGTCAGAACAAGAGCTGTCACTCTAGTGACGAATGTCCCCAAAAAGGTTTCATAAGCATGCAGGTATTATGAAAAGAAAAGAGAATGAAAGTAACTAATTGCTGAATATTGTTCTTTGTATTATTGTACCTGTAATCTCTAATTGTAATTGCATGAACCTTCAAAATATAAGTGTGACCTTGACCTTTGAAGAAGGGACGTGGTTCCAGGACGCGACAAATGTTGTTATGAGATAGAAGTTTGTGCCAAATTATTTCAAAATCCCTCCATGCATGACAAAGTTAGTGTGGACATGATTGTTGTGTAAGTGGGGACACACGCACATACGGACATGAGCCTTAGCCGCGACACATTGTCTTGATGTGGTAGGCATTTGTGTCAAGTTATTTTAAAATCCTTCAATGCATGACAAAGTTACAGTCCGGACATTAACGTGTATCTTCAAACTCTTCTCGGGAGAACGAGTACCTTCAAACTATAAGTGTGACCTTGACCTTGAAGGTAGGGACATGGGTCTTTGTCGCGACACATCATCTTGATGTGGTAGACATTTATCCCAAGTTATTTTAAAATCCTTCGATGCAAGACAAAGTAACAGCCCGGACACGAATGTGTGTACCTATAAACTCAATGGTGATAAAGTGAACTTCAAAATGGTAGTGTGACCTTGACCTTTGAGGTAAGGACGTAATTATTGGACGCGACACATCGTCTTGATATGGTAGACATTTATGCCACGTTATATTTAAATCCTTCCATGCATAACAAAGTTACAGCCCGGACACGATTGTATGTCCCTATTAATTCTAATTGTGATAATGCGAGACTTCAAAATGTTAGTGTGACCTTGAACTTTGAGGTAGAGACATATTTCGTGGACGCAACACATCGTCTTGATGTGGTCGACATTTATGCCTAGTTATTTTAAAATCATTCAATGCATGACAAAGTTAAAGTCCGGACACGAATGTGTGTACCTATTTTCTCTAATTGCGATAATTTGAAACTTCAAAATGATAGTGTGACCTTGACCTTTGAGGTAGAGACGTAATTCTTGGACGTGACACATCGTCTTGATGTGGTATACATTTATGCCTAGTTATTTAAAAATCATTCAATGCATGACAAAGTTAAAGTCCGGACACGAATGTGTGTACCTATTTCCTCTAAATGCAATAATGTGAAACTTTAAAATGATAGTGTGACCTTGACCTATGAGGTAGGGACATGGTTCTTGGACGCGACACATCGTCTTTATGTGGTAGACATTTGTGCCATGTTATTTCAAAATCCCTCAATGTATGACAAAGTTACAGTCCGGACACGAATTAAGAGGGGACGCACAGAGGAATTAACTGGGGATGCACAGACAGACGGACGTACAGACGGTGCGATTATATTATGCCTCCCTTGGGGGGCATAATAAAGCACCCTCTTCACTTTATCTTACAGTTGCAGTAGTATTAAACAAAGAATCTACAAATGTATATTATTAAACATGTATTACATTATATATAGCATTTTCAATTAATTTATCAAAATAATGCACTTGAATGTTAACTATAATAATACATAGATATTAAACTCTCAAACAAGTACCGGGAGTAATAATAAAAATTTAAATTAAATATAAAACTGATTCCATTGGCTCTCAATAGGACAATATAAAATTAAAAACAAAATTCTATCAGTAAATATATTGGATCAACCATCTCTCAATCAAACTATCATGGTTCAGTCTGGCATATATATATAGATTTATTATGAAATATTATTTGACCTTTAAATGTGACCTTGACCCAGCAGGGCAGTGACATGGTTTCTGCACCTTGTCTGCTAAGCTGGACATTTGAACAAATTTTGAAGAAATCCTTCAAGCAATAAGTAAATATAACATGGACACAAAATTGTCTGATATATTACCTTCAGTCATGACCTTGACATTTAGCCTGCACAACAGTGACTTTGATTCTTTACATCGCCTTGTTAAGCTTATTATAATTATTTGAGGTAAGTTTGAAGAAAATCAATCAAGAGGAATATGAATTATAAAGCTGACACAAAATAGTCTGAAATTTGACCTTCAAGCGTGACCATGACATCGCACAGCAGTAACATGGATTCTGCACATTGCCAAGTTAGGTGAACATTTGTGTCAAGTTTGAAGAAATCCTATGTCAATCCCTTACTGTGGCTTTAGACACTAAACATTGTGTGACTGTGGTGATTATTTATCATTATTGGATTATTGAAATCATGCATGTAAAAGATAATTTGGTCAGACAAAACATGAACAATTTATGCATACACACAGAAAAACACAAGCAAAGACAAATATGGACAGAGCGAACACTATATGCCCTTTGCCGTAGTAATAAAGGGACTTCACTCATACAAGAACAAAACTTCAAAATTGAGTTACTTCCCTTTGATTAAGATTTAATTTTTAGTCTGGTGTACATGACTAATAATATTAATTAGAATAAAGTCAGTAACTTAAAAAAAAACATTAACAGACATAGACATGACTATTTAACAAAAATAACAAGGAATGGATTTTCTAGAGTAATAAATAATATAATATTTTTACAATATACAAATCTACTATATGAACATTTGTAGTTAAACATTAATAGTTAAATTATATAACATTAAAACATATTAACCTCTTACATTTCTAAACATAACATAAACAACTCTTATTTGCTTACATTGGCCACAACCGAAGAATAATTAATACAAATCAGTCCCCATATTGGGCCTTGCCCACAGACTATTAATTCCATTGTCATGTTTTATATGTTACCAGATAAGAAATTAAAAATTCCTGTTGATATATTGAAAGATACAATATGATTTGGCAATATGAGTGTGGCAAATGTTAAAGCTATATGGGTAATCACAATTATTGAGCAAACTTGTGCACTAATATACAAATAATATAATCTAAAGTTACGTACAAAAATTGAGCTGATAATGAAGGGTCTGACAGCACGAAATGTGCAAGTGGTCCTTGCTCTATACAGGTGGCAAAGGTAGATCATTCTTAATTTCTGCAAGGTTAAGTTAAATAAAGAAAAGAAAAAAAAAACTTTTAAGTTTTTAAACATATAAT